AGCATGTGCCTGGGTTTCAGGCCTGGTTCCTAGTTGGGGTGCATTCGAGAGGAGACCAATTGATGTTTCTCTCACACATTGATGTTTCCCTCCCTGTCTTCCTCCTTACCTTCCCCTCCTTCTAAAATTAATAAATAAAATGTTAAAAATAAATAAAAATAAAAATCTTGTCATTTAATGTGCAATTTTAAGTTTCAAAATAATTTCAAAGTAATAATGTCATAAGTAGCATTTTTGAATACCTGCATGGCTATAATTAACATGAAAATATCCTTGATTTCTATTGGTGCCAGTGTTTTGGGCACTGTGGTTTGTCGCCTACACTCATAGTTGAAGAAAATGCTAAATTTTACTTCAAGATTACTGAAAATAAAAAGGTAAGGGTCCTAAAGCCGGATCCATCCCCTAAGCTACCTTCTTCATTTCTATCCCTGTGCTGCTAGGCACAGTTAAAGAGCATCGTTCCATCATGCAGATTGGCCCATGAAAAATTCATGGGCTCCAACCCCAGCTCTACCCTCGTGACGCACAGCAGTGCACACACTGGGCAGCTCTCCTGTCCCCCTTGGTGACCTTGCAAACCTCTACCACTCTCAGAATCTCTGCGAATCAGCCCACGTGTCCCTTCCTCCAGTTAGCTCATTCTGATATTATTGCACAATCTGGAGAGTTCTGCCCAGGGGTGGGGGAAAAAAGGACTGCCAACATCCCAAGGGGAAGCATCCCTGGCTGCATATATATTTGTGCCCAAATTCTTACCACTTGTGCAAATCCCCTGACTTTGGGTCTCCCTGAACATTTTATGCTTTCTCTGCCCCCATCCCCAGGGAAAAAGAAGCAGGGTTGGAGTCTGGTTGGCATGAATTGGGCTTCTGTGGGTGAGAGAAGAAATTTCAAGGGATGCTTAGAGCACAATGGACATAGGTCACAGGTCATAGGTCATAGGACACAGGTGTGTGTGTGTGTGTGTGTGTGAGAGCACCATTGAGAGTGTGCATGTGTACTCTTCCAAGTATGTACATGATCCTCTATGCAGGAAGAAGGTCTCCTCTGCTTTTCCAAGATTTAATCAGGGGGCCATAATCTCTTGCCTTCACATCCTGAGATAAATGAATACATGATGCCCTTGTGGAGCACACGACACGGACACCTGCACTGATGGCTCTGACCATGGTCTCCTCGAAACCCTGCATCATTCCATCCCTTCCACTGCCAGGTGATGGCTTTGCCTCTGTTCATGGAAACCTCCTCACCTTTCTGTTTCCCATGTGCAAATATGTGTGGCTCTCTTCTGCTTTTCCCCTTCAGTTTCAGAGCAGGAGATGCCTGCCTTTTGTGCAAAACCAACACCTGCTATGCTCCTGATTCCCACCAGGAGTCAACTCTGCACCTGGCTGCATTAGTTACCCCCTCTTCAATCTTCCTTTCCAGTTGTCCTATAACACCAGTTCCATTCCATATATAAGCCTTCTCTTGACTCCAAAGTTCCCCTCTACTAGTCTTCTTCTCTCTCAGCCAAGCTTCTGGAAAGAGAGCTCTCTACAAACATTTTCACTTCTTCACTACCACACGCTGGCCTTCTCCTCTAGGATTCCCCTTAATGTCCTTCCACAAGGTCCCCAGGAACCTCCATGTTGCCTGAGTGGCTGGGTAACTTTTCAGTCCTTAATTTACTGGACTATTCCACACATTTTACATTGATGATCACTTCTTTCTGCAGGAAACTCTTGACTCTGTTAGCTTCCATGTCATCTTGCTATACGGAACCTATCAGTCGTGTGAAGACCGTGTCCCATGCTCTTATCTAAGAGGAGTAGCTACATGCAGAGTCCCTGTCTGGGCAGCCCCGTGTTCTGAGACACAGAAAACCTACCTACAGCCAATTTGTGGAGGTCATGCTGAGCAAGGCCTGGGAAGAAAGCAGTCATGGGAGGCCCTGACCAAGACAAATAAGCAACAGATAAGCAGAAGATGGCACAGAGAAAGAGAAGTGAGGAGAGAGAGATAGAGAGCAAATAGAGATAGAGAAACAGAGACAGAGAGATAGAAGGAAATAGACAAAGAAACAGAGAGAAAGCATATGCTTGCTAAGAGGTAGAAGTGGGAACAGTGCGTCAGCCTAGAGAAATGGGTAGAGAAGCCTCACTTCCTGTATGTACTGTTCCCAGTTCTGCTTGAGAGCTTGAGGCCTGGCCCCTTTTATATCTATGAGAGCACTCTATCCCTACAATAAACTTACTGTATATTGAGCTAGTGTTTAGGTTGCTGTTAATTATAATCCAAAGGAAGCTTGTCTAAGACAGACACCTTGAACTTTGTAGTCTGTTCTCTTAAGCGTGCATTTGTGGTTGTGTTGGGAAGGAACCACAAGGTTCTTCATTATAATCCTCTTTTGTTCTTTACTAAGAACAACTGTATCAACGTACATATAGACACCTGATTCTGAGGCCCTGCCAGCACACGGTCTCAGTTCCTTAAGTGAAATTTTCAGAACACATGCCCATGAAACAAAACCCAACGTGGTGCTTCAGGAGCTGAGGGAGAGATTGTGGACACCATTGCGGACGCCACTGCGAACCTAAGGATCAAATTCCTCCGAAGTCTGTTGAACAAGCCAGCAAAATCAGACTACTCTATGAGTAGCTTCCTGATTTATGAAGAAAAATATCTAATTGAATAATGACCATTTTTCTCAGCATCCTTAAAAAATGTCTGTTTTGGTGATAGAATCCTTTGTTATCATTTATGATAACTCATGAGCCTCTACTAGTCCTCTACTTGAAATTCTCAGCTCTCCGAAACTATTATGCCCAGCTACACCTACAGTTGCTGCTGACCCATTCTCTCCTTTTTTCCTTCATGCACACTCATCATTGTGCAGCCTGCACCATGCGAATTCTTTCATTGTAAGCTCGCACACGTTGCTCACCTTTCCATTAATCCCTGCGCTTCCCTCAGACTCAGCTCAAATTGCACCTTTTCCATGAAGCCTTGCTCAGAGCCTCTAGTTGCAAACCTTACAACCTTTTTGGAATTCCTTTAGCCCAGGATTACTCAACTGGAGTCAGTTTTGTCCCTCGGGGGACATTTGGTAATATCTGGAGATGTTTTGGGTTGTCACAACTCGGGGGAGAGTGCTACTGGCATTTAGCTGGTAGAGGCCAAGGATGTTGCTAAACATTCTGCAATGCAATGAATAGTCGCCCGACAATGTCGATAACGTTGAGAAACCCTGCAGTCTAGCCTGACTTTGGCACCATGAACCTCCTCATGTGGTTAGGTTACTCATTACGGTGTGAACTCTAAGGGCTGGATGGGGAAATGAAGAAATCAGTCGTTGCCCTCCCTAGTTTTATGGGTATGAAGACTGACGGAAGAGAAGCTGCCAAAAGTCACTGAGAGCGCCTTTGGCGGGCGGGGCTTTATCCCCTGACCCCTGAGCCTCTGAAAAGTTCCGTGTCATTTCTCTAAGCAAGGGTGGGATCTTTTATTAAATGTGCAGTGATGCTCCCCTACTACCCTTAGTCAGTCACGAAGAACATGGTACATACTCGTCAGGTCAGAATAACCCTAGATTGTATAAAGTATCATTTTATTTCCCTGCAAATGTATTTTCTTAAAGAACCGTGACCTTTTCTCCTGGATATAACCTCTCAAAAGGAAAGACCACTACATCTAAATCACAGAAACAGGAAATTCTACGGAGATCTTCTGCGGAAGTATTGTCCACTTTAATTAGAGTAAATACCAGCCAACTGAGTCTTACACATTTAAATCATGGTGATGAAAATTACCGCCTCAGCAGCACAGAGGAAAACAGGAAGGATTTTTACTAAGGGGAATAATCAACTGAATTCTTAGAGAGAAACTGGAAAATAACCCCAAACAAACAAATAAAAAAACCCAACAAAATACAGAATCTTATTCTAACCCATTTCTATAAATGAATAATTATTCTCCTTGGAGAAAAAATATGTAAGGAATTGTTGAGAGAATTCAAAAAGGAGAGCTGATTGCCTAGTATTCTGCATTTTGGAGGCAGAACAGTATAAGCAGAAGTTCAAGTGCAGGCCTGGAGCAAGATGATCCCGGATTTGAGTCCTGGCAGCACTGCAGAGCAGCTGTGTGACTTGGGTAAGTGCCTAAATCCCTCAAATCCTAGTCTCCACAGTGAAGATCTGTAACACTACTTCCCAAAATATGAAATTGTGAGGACTTGATGAAGGAACACAGGAAAAATGTTACTTTTTAGCCATGGGATCAGGCTAAAACCAGGCCGTGAATAAATGAGATCAATTGCTGCAATGATTTCCACCTACTGTACTTTGACTTCTGAAACAATGGAAAGATCACTTAGTCTTGCTATGTCAATTTTTATTTCCTGAGAAGAAGTATGACATCCCCTTCCTAACACAGAAGAGAACTTCCATCGCACTGGAATTTTCACATTGAATTATTAGCCAACCAGCTCTCCTTTTCCAATTTAAAATAAAACAATAAGCAAAAGCTTTTACATATGCATATGTGGGGCTTTTAAATTGTGTGAACAAGTCTGTAGTTGTAAGTATTTGAAAAATGATTTAAACTTGATCTCCCTCCTTCCCTCCCTCCCTCCTTCCCTTTATTTCTCCCTTTAACAAGATGTGCAAATGCACGTATATGGGGTTGTGTGACAATATAAAATATCTATAGAGAGAGTGTCAAGCATTTATGTTTCATGTGGAAGTCTGAGAAGGAAAATTTCAGACACTTTGGTTCCAACCCTGCCTGATACAAGGTATGAGATATCAAGCAAGTCACTTAACTATCTCTCATCTATAAAGTAAGGGGCTTGGTAGATGATTACTATGGTTTCCTCCAGTTTTAGTTACTGGATTGTATTTTTATTTTTGGAGAGTCACAACAGACATCCAATTCAAATATGTTGTTTAAAATGATCTTGTCATTATGTTTTAAAGATTTTATTTATTTATCTTTAGAAATTGGGGAAGGGAGGGAGAAAGAGAGGGAGAGAAACATCTCTTTGTCTTCTCTTGTACATCCCCCTACCGGGGACCGAACTTGAAGCCCAGGTATGCCAAACTAGTGTACTTCTGCTTTGCAGGATGACGCCCAACCAACTGAGTCACACTGGTCATGGCAGATCTTGTCTTTTTAATAGAAAGTACAATCTGCAAGAAAAGAATGAAGCATTATTGGATTTTAAAATGCTACTTTAAATTTTGAATGGATCTCTTTGTCCAAGTATTTTGTCAGTTTGTGTTCCCAAATTAGATTTTTGGCTGCAGTTGCGCAGGACCCCATGCTTAGAAGGACTCCACGATTAACTTAGTCCTCTGCTATTGCCACTTGGAAATTCCTAATGTTTGAACAAAAGGCCCCACATTTTTGTTCTATACTGGGCTCTGCAAATTACACAGCTGGCTGCAACTTACAGTTTATAGTGTAATTTCTAGGCTCAGGACCCTTTTCTTTTTTTAGTTAGAAACCTACACTGACTTCTTTCCTCTGCAGCCATTCTCAGTTTTTTATGTTGGTATAAAACTGCTTCACCACCCAGACTGCAGGACGGGTGGACAACTGTACACAGGACACACAGTGCCTGCCTGGACTTCAAAGGGCTGAGGCTCCATCACTCAGCCCAACCATCTGTAGGGGTGGAGCTTCTGTCAGTGGCAATTCCCACATTATTGCAAATGTTTGCAGGAGTCTAATAGATTGCACGGAGGACTCAGCAAAAAGTAGTCCTCCTTTGAAAATTGGAGGCTGTCAGCCATTCCTTGAACACCCCCATTGAACACCATTGAATGGCCCTGGAACACCAAGGCCATTCTCTGAACATCCCCAGTCCCCATCCCCTGGCCTTGTTGGTGTTAGTATTTTCCCAAAGCCTGACCACTCTGCTTTAAGGGTCCCTAAAGTGAAGTAAAGAGGTAACTACTCACAGACTCGGAGTTCAATCAGTGCTTGGAATGATGATTTAACTTCAAAAATCACTTCTGATCCCTTAGTGTGTGCTGTCATTTCATTATGCCAGGCACCGAGGGCACAGCTGGAAGCAAACACAATAAAGATGAGCTAATTCCAATTTATTGCAGCCAATCTGGGTTTACTCCACAGCCTGTGAAATGTGGATACTACTCAGGTCGCAGAGCTGATGTAAGGATATAAGAAGATAATAAGTGACTAGGCACTTGAAGAGTTACTTCGGGGTGAAAGTATTTGCAAGGTGTCATGTAGGCAAATGATTTTTTTTGAAAAAGCAATGTATTCCTGGAGGTATGTGGAGGTTTTTTTTTTTTTTCCCCCCAATAGGATTAGCTTAAGTGGAAGCAGAGATAGGACGAAATTTAAATGATTTGCCTTCTCTCAATTGTTGAACAGTAGAATTTGACACCCAGAGCAGCGACCCTCCAGACCAGTCACAGAGGGGAATGCCAGACGAAAAGAGATGGCAATGGAGAAAAAAGATAGTGCTCACGCCATCGTTGGCCATGTCTGCACATAGAGCTTCCTGCCCCATTGCTTTCCTGTTTCCACGTTCCCCTGGTACTAAAGCAGGGGAAGACAAGCCCACTCTGCTCCCGCCCCGGGGTCCCGGGCTGTTCTCGCAGTAGCAGTGAAACCAGACTAGGAAAAGAAGCGGTCTCGAGGAGAAGAGGCGGGTCCGGGTCTCTGTGGGCGGGGAATGACGGGTGGGGCCATGGCCTAATCCCGGCGGCTTAAGCCGCGACCAGACTGGGAAGAAAGCAGGCTGGGAGGGAAGGGGCGGGGCCAGGCTGAGGTGGGCGGCCCAGGGGCGGGGCCACGTGGGCCTCACGCGAAGTCAGGCGGAGCCCGGGGCAAGGCACGGAGAGGCGGGGCGGAGCCGAGGTGGGTGGGACTGGAGGGGAGGATCCAGGGTGGGGTAGGGTTCGCAGCGGGGCGGGGTTGCCCTGCACTAGGGCAGAGCTTAAGCACTCCGTCCTCCAGCCACTTCCAGAGCCGTGCGGTCTACTCAAGCCCTGGACAAGGCGTCCCAGGGCGGGGAGGAGGACGTAGGGACCTGGCGATGGCTTCGCGGGGACTCCCGGGGTCTGCCGTCCTCACCGCTGCTGTCTTTGTGGGAGGCGCCGTGAGTTTGCCGCTCGTGGCTCCGGGTGAGTTCTCCGTAAGCTCGGGGCTCGTTGGAGAAGGCTAAGGATAGAGACTGCAGCCCCGCTGCGCCCCCCGCAGCTGTAGTCCCGGCCAGTGGCGAAATGCGGGCTCTCAACTGCGAGCTGTCGGGGGGTGGCCCGGGAGTTGGCGGAGCCTGGCGACCGATCTGATCCCTCCCTTCCCGCCTGCGGGGCTCCCGCCTTCGCTCTGCTCGCCGGCTTCTCGGAGGACCTGTTACCCCCGCCCCCCACTTCTGAGCTGTCCCGGGTGTGGGGATCGAGCCTGGTCTTGCATGCCTCAGGTGCGCTTCCGCTCGGCACCTCCAAGCCCCGTCAACCCCTTTTGTGCCGCCCTTGTCCTCAAAGGCCGGGCGAGCGGAAGATCGTGTCACAGGGGACCGGGTGCACTGGCGCTGTCGCCGCTCCGCCCCCCCCCCCCCGTCCCGCCCCCGCTTTATAGTTTAAAACCTTGGGGAGTTTCAATTCTTTAGTTTCCAAGTTTTAATTTATTTTAGTGGTGGATGGATTCTTATAACAGGTTGGGGATTTCAGATTTCTTCTCACATATCCTGTATGAATCAGGCTTGGAAAAGGGAAGGCGCGTTTGTAAACTTAGATTTTTTTCTTAGTCGAGTCCTGTCACCACAAAAGGAACCTAATGTGGTCAGAGCAGGAAGCCACCAGCCGTGCTGATAAGGTGTCATCTCCAATGATGAATGTAGAGCAGGAATTTTTCTTTGAGATCTAACAGGATGGGTAGATTTTATGGAAGTCCTGTCTCAAACTCTTGTTTTTATAACTGTAGGCACCAGGGATTTCCCCTCTTAACTGCCACCTACTGAGTAATTTAAAAATAATAATAATAAATATATACCTTCTTGGCCAGTTGGGGTCACCACGACCTGGAATTTTAGATCAGCAAGCTCTTCTTAGCTTGAGCAGCTCCTCTTCAGGTCCAAATAATAAGCATCTGGAAGCCTTCCAACGGTGGCTGTCTCCTCCATAAAAACATACACTATTCTTCACTTTGGTTTTCCCTTTTTCATAGAAAACAGAACGTTTCCTTCCTTCTGTTAGGAAGGAAACAGAATGACACATACCCTATTTTTCGGACTATAAGATGCACTTTTTCCCCAAATTTGGGAGGAAAGGGGGGTGTGTCTTATAGTCCGAATGTAGCTTACCTGGCTTGCTGGGGAGGGGGGGGCGGCAGCCTGTTATTTATGTTATTAAATATTTTACCACATTTTTTTGCCTCAAAGTTCTTTTTGCTATTTTCCTCCTCTAAAACCTAGGTGTGTCTTATGGTCTAGTGCGTTTCACAGTCTGAAAAATTCAGTATATCTCCTGAGCCTTTATTAGCAGACACGTATTTCCTTCAGCCATCCTCCCTGGGGAGATGGCAGCTAGTGACGTGGTTATTGCACGGGAGATTTTGGTGTTCAGCCTGAGTGTCATTGCTGAGACAGGTCAGTGCATTATCAGGTTCAAACCCGACCCGAGGCTGTAGACAGTAGTTAGAGATACAAAGTTAGTTGCTCCAGAAATTGAAGAGCTTAACCTGGGAGTGAAATTCAGCACATGCTGCATGTAATCCTCCATCAACCAGAGAAAACCATCCCTAGAGTAAGTTTGTGTTTCCTTGGGCCTCTAAGCAGTGCCAGCTCTCAGGACTAGAATGAAGAAAACTCTCATCTAATTGCACAATAATCTCTCTGTCTCTTTTTTAATGAAATGGAACACTTGAAAAGAGTAAGGTGTCTAAAAAGGAAAGAATCCAGAGTATAAGTGTGTTGGGGTGACTTGAGACCTGATCAGTCAACATTGGTTACCCAGTGGAATCTAAGACAGTGTGCATGTTTGTAGAGAGTGTTAGGGAGGTAGAGAGAAAGAAATGGGAAGTGATGTTGAGTACCTGGTATGGGCCAAGTTTCGAGTTGGGCACTTCATATGCATTTGTACACTTTTTCTCATAATGCTAGGAAGTTCTTACTTCCAGTGAGGCTGCTGAGGCCCAGAGGAGTTAGACAATTGGTCCAACATCACATAGCTAGTCTATCAGCCAGCATTTATTTAATCAGAGAAGCAGAACCACTAGCAGGTGTGTGTGTGTGTGTGTGTGTGTGTGTGTGTATCTTTATATGTATCTTTATCTTTGGTAACCTAGGCAGCTTAATTCCAAAATTCATTCATTCTCTTTCTACTATACCCACTGCTCCTGAGTGAGAAAACAGAGCAGAAATCAGCCTGGGCAGTCCTGTTGAGATTCTAAGACAGGGAGTTTAAGACGAAAAATTGTAAGCAGGAGGCTATGAGAAGGTGGGCAGCAGGAGAAAGTAGAACAGATAACTGCACAGTGGGTAGTGGCCACGACTCTCACTTCCTGCCTAGTAGGAGAAGCCCATTAAATTGCTGTCTCTCAGTAACAGCATTTGAAACTCTATCCCACAAGCAGCAGAAGGGATGGTTTTTCACATCTTGGCTTATGTGTGTCCTTAAGTTCTCTGGTTACTCAACCTTTGGGCTTATTGTTTCTCTGTGTGACAGTGGGCACAGCCTTTGAGGAAGGAGTGGGCAGCAAAGGTCCAGGGGCTGGTGAATAAGAAGTGCCCTCTCCCTGGGCTCTGTGGGCTGCCATCCAGCCTCCTGACTCCTCATTTAGATGCCAAAGATAAGCTTTATTAAATTCTGGTTCTCCTTTGGCCAGATAGCTACTCAGATGTACATCGCATCAAACATAATCAGTAGACAGAATATTTTGAGAAAGCACCCCTTAAAGCTTGGGATTCCAAGTCCAAGTTTAATTTAAAGAGGAAATGAAAAATTTGAGAAGTACTTGTCATTCCCTCTCTTCTCCCCCATCCCCCACCCCACTCCAAAGAAATTAATCAAACAGCCTGTTTGGGAGTTTCAGCAGTTGAATTTGAATGAGAGAGGTCAAAGGCCAAGGTGATGGGAGTAAAAAAAAATTATTGTTACTTTTTAAAGAATTGTTTGGCTTTGAAGTTGAAGTTTAGTTATATATTGAGAAATTATTTAAAACTGACAAAATAATTAAAATTGTCATTGTTTAAAACTGTTATGTTGGGTGGTTTCTAATTATTTTAGGACACTTACATCAGTAACTGGTAAAGATTTGATGGGCTGCGGAAAGCAGGTGGAATAAGGAGTGTGGTGTGGCCACCCAGGACTATAACTGGAATTTGGAGTGAGTTCATAATAGACACTCTACTCTTTTTGAAGGAGGAATGCAATGTTTATTATACCTGCTTAGTGGCTGGCTCTGGTCTATGTACTCAGGTCATTTAATTCTTATACACTCTGTCCTGTAATAAATACTGGAATAATTTAAATATTCTTTTTTCCTAATAGATGAAAAATTGAGTATCCGAGAAGTTAGCTTGAAAAAGTTGCTCAATAAAGTATATAATTGTCTATCCCCTATGCTGTACACTTTAAACTAATACAAAATAGTATTGAAGGTAAACTGTACTTTAAAATTAAAATTATTAAAATTAAAATAAAATTAAAAAAAAGAAAAGGTCACTCAAATTTGGATTTTGACCTTGGTTAGATCTATTTAATTCTAAAGCCTGTTCTTATTATATTAGTAAATCACTTTTTTCTTTCAAGTGAGAAATTTCTTTTTATTCTAAGGTATTTATAAAGAATCACAAAGGGTAATGGCAAGATATAGCAGAAAGAGCATTGAATCTGCCGAGTCCTGGACTTGAGTCAAAAGTCAAGAAGAGGCCTTGCCACTTTTGGGAGTGTGGCTGTCTGCCTCCATTCTCTCCCTGGAAAATGGGCGTGTGCCAGCTCCCGTCTTTGCCTGCCTTTCTGGCTGCCAGTAGGGATCAAATGAACTATTGTCTTTGAAAGGCCTTAGAAAATGGCAAAGTGGTATATATTTTTTTATCCTGTGTATTTTTTTTCTGAATTTCTTCCCCAAGGTGTCCATCAGGTTGGGATGATATTATAATGTGGACCGAACTATCTAATAAATGTATACCACTAACAGTGTAAGGTTTTCATTCTGGAGGAGGGGATGGTCTTGCAATGATAGGTTCATTATGAATATATAAAAGCCCAAAGTGACACCTCAGATTTATGAGTTTGCTGCCATTGACTGGGAGGCAAGCCTCCAAATCTTCTTTTCCCATTTTCCCTCAGCTAAACTACAGTGCTCTTGGTATGTTTGGAAAATTCCCCACAAGATTTAAAGTTTGAGGAAAAGGGGATCTCATTACTCCAAGGTACTGTTACTCGCCACTGTTAGTCTGTTTCATACTGGTCTTCTCTCTCTCTCTCTCTCTCTCTCTCTCTCTCTCTCTCTCTCTCTCTCTTTTATTTGGATAGGATCATGCAAATGTAATTTTGTGTCTTGCGTTTTTCACTTAATGTTCTATATGAAGCTTCCTCCATTATCCTATACTCGAAAAATGGCTGCATCATATTCTATTTTATGGATTCACTGCATTTTACCTCATTGTGCCTCCATTTTAGGATATTTCAGTTGTTGCTAATTATTTTCAAATGACTTTTAAAACTCATTATTTCAGTGACCGTCTATGCATGAAGCTTTCTCTAGATATCGATGACTTCCCGGGAAAGGAGTTCCTGAAAAGGCATTTGGGGGTCAAAGGTGTGCATGTGATTGGGGCACTGAGGACATCAGTCCTGGGGACCTGCGGGGTGTCCCAGTCCACGTTCTCACAGCAACAGTCAAGGGACTCACTTTTCACACGGTTGGCATTTTCTTTGAAAAGTGTATTTGCTACTTTGTAGTGTAAAAATTGGTGCCTTGATGGTTTTAATTTGTATGGTTTTGATTAGTAGTGTGACGACTAGTTTTTTTTAAAAAAAAATATCCGAGCCATTTGCATATGTCTATGATCCTCTATGGGTAATTCTGAAATCTGAAAATCAAAAAATTGTTTGGAGGCTCTTTGCATGTTCTGTTGGTGGTCAACCCTAATGTGAACCAATGTGAGATTCCACAG